GGGACACCAGATGGGCTGTGCAGGTGAGAAAAGCCTTCCGTCTGGAGGGTTGTTCAGGGAGCTAACAGACTGGGGCCCTTGATGGACCTAGGGTGGGCCCCTGGGGGTTGGCCAAGATGTTTCCCGGTGGCTGGAGCCATTGAGCATGGGGGGGCCATTTGCCAGGTGGAGAAGACTGTGGGTGTGGTGTTGGGGGCTGTGGTGCGTGTGGGTGTGACAAGTGTCCCGATGAGTTTCACCCCAGTGGACACACCGTAAGGCCCTGGGCACGGGGCAGGCCTTGGAGTGGGTGGGGTGACCACCGCTGACCCAGGGTCAGGTAAGAGGCCTGGGGGATATTTGATCTAGACTGACCCCTTCCCAGTGGGCTTTCTGGAAGAATTAAGAGCGAGTTCCTGGGCTCATGCTCCCAGGGCAGCCACTGCACAAGAGAAGGGGCCCCCTCTGCTGAGAGGTGGGGGGCTAGGGGCTGCCTCCGGGGAGGGCCGGTGCCCCTCCGAGAGGGGCCCCGGGCTCAGCGCCTTCCCTGGTTTGCTGCCCCGATTGTCCCCGGCCCGCCAGGGCTCCGTCCTCTCTCTGGGGCTCCCTCATCCTGCTCCAGGCTGTAAATTCCATCTCTACCACCAGGACCCCCAGCTGTCCCCCAGCTCCCCAGGCAGCTTGGCGTAGGAACACCGCACGCCTGTGAGCAGAAGGCCTTGGCAAATGCAGGCGTGTTCTTTGAGCAGGCGTCACCGTGCCCTCCACGCTCCCATCGCACCCCTCGTCACCGTTAGGCTCTCTGCCACACGGACCTGCCCTCCCCGGCGGGGAGACCCCCGGTCCAGGTCCCCAGGCCCACTGACGCCTGCCTGGGCTCGGGGCTCCGGCGGCTGCCCAGCGTCCGGCTGCATGCCAACAGACCCCATACTGGCCCACATCTCCCCCTGGACCTGACCTTCTAACTCACCCCGCGTACACCTGTTCCGGGCCACCCATGGGTGCTGGGTCCCCTGCTGGGCCTGGGCAGTGCTGCCCCCCTTCACAAGGCTCCTCTTCGCAAACGCCCCCTCTCCCCTCTGCTCTTCCCTCCCCCCGTTTGGATGCTCGAAGCTGATCCATATACCGCTCTCCCCTCGCCAACTTCCTCTGGCGCCTGCACATAGTAGGTGCTCAGTAAATTTGTGCTGAATGAATCTGGGAAGACTCCAGGAGCCTGACCCCTCCCAGCGTATGAGTCCCCAATGCCTCCTCTTTCCCCTTCAAGGCAGCTGTCACCCATGAGACCCGGGGACCACCGTGGGGTGGGCACAGAGGTGTGGGGGAGGCCTCTGAGCTCCCCGAGAAAACAGACCCTCTTGGCCTGGAGGTGCTCCCAGTGCCCAGCACTTGGGACACGGACAGCGGGCAGTGCCACCCCCAGCCCCGGTCCTGGCATCCTCTCCTCCCAGGCCCCACTCAGGCTGGACTGGCCAGCTGTGCTCTCGCTGTGGGCCCCAAGCAGGTGTCCAGAGCCTGTTCCCGAGTCTAAACTGAACTCCCACCCCCATGTGGCCCTGACTCCCCAGCCTGCACCCCCCTGCTGTGCAGAAGCTCCCTCCAGCCAGCTCGTGTACCCCCTCTGAAGGTGTCTGGGTCTTGGGGTTTGGCACAGATGAGGTTTTCGGGGGGAAAGCTGGGGAGAAGTCTCTGGCCTGGAGAGGGTCTCAGCTCCTCCTCCCGCGGTGGGCCCCCTCCCCAGCCAGAGGGAGGCGAGGCAGGCGCTGTGGCGTCTAGTCTCTACTGTGCCCCTTTGCAACTGGGCTCAGACCTGAGTCCAGGAACAGACAGGTCCAACGGCAGGTCCAGGGCGGAAGGACCTTGTCACCTCCCAGTTTGAAACGCAGAGGCCCAGCAGCTCCCCGGGGAAAGGGCACACCTGTCCCTGAAGCCTGTCCTCCAGCCTCGGAGCCGGTCCTGGCCTGCCGGGAGCCCCGGGAGGAGCCCCCCGGGGGAGGGGGAGGCGAGGCGCGCTCCTGGGCTTTGGCCTCTTTCCTTCCTCCAGTTTTCTGGGTCTCCGTCCCTTTCCCGAGCCCCTCTCCCCCTTCCCAGCCACGTTGGAGGTCACCTTCCCCCAATGCCAGTGGGTGTCCCCCAACGTAACACGTGACTCCAGCACGGCAGCGCCCCACACCGTGAGGGCTGGGGCCCCCCTCCCGTGCACCGCGTGTCCCCGGCGCCCCACAAATCCGTGTCGAATGAATGAATCTCGCCGGGCAGAGACTTGGCCTCGTTCGCGTC